GGAAGAGTGGTGGTGTAAGACCCTTTGTCCAGGGTGGGACACACACACACACACACACGCGCACACTGATACATGCATATGAGAGATGATATGAGTGTGCAAGAAATGTGCTTGGCTTGGGGTGAGATCGGGAACGAAGGGTTGGTCAGATGAAAAACAGCAAGCGGCACCCGGCTTGCAGCACGCCAGGCGCTCTGAGAACTTCTTCCAGCTGCCTGACTCGGTGGTTTTGGAGGAGGTATCCTCTGATGAGGAGCTGAAGGTTCTGAAGCGGAAAAGCCTCAGTTGGAGCTGTGTGGGGCTCGACACGGAGTCCTTGCGGGGCGGAAAGTGCGCGCTTTTGCAGGTGGGGACGGGTGCTGTGGCATTGTGTGGAATGAAGTCGTGACAATGTTTGAAGCTCATAAGGTTGTGCGGTTGAAGTATGTGGATCCTCTTAGGTGTCCACCAAGACCACCGCCTTTTTGATCGACCTGCTGGCGGTCAGCAGGGAGCAACTCAGAGACTTCCTAGTACCTTGGCGGGTCGTTGCGCACATTATTTGTTGGCTCTAAAGACAGTTGAGCAGATGCAGTCTGCCCAAGACAATCCAAAACAATTTTCAAAACTATTCTCTGCATCAAAGACGTCTGTGAGACTTGGTTGGGGGGTGCCTTCGTTATGACCGGCTGAAGCCAGGTGCCACTGATGGCAGAGCGGGCCATCACCAAGCTGGGCTTTGGTGCATCGGAGCGGGTGCCACTTAAAAAGGCAGTTTTAAAGGGTTATCCTCGAAACGATGCTATTTGGCTAGCTATCGATCGGTCGATCGATCTATCCATCCATCCATGCATCCATTCATCCATCCATCTAATTACAGGGTATCAATTGGTGATAAATCAATCTTGTTATTTGGGGCGCGTCCTTTGGCCACCCTTGTAGGAGGTGAGGGAGCTCAAGAAGCTGGGTGCAAAGAATGTGGAATCCTTTCATGATATGCAACAGGTCGGAGCCCAGCAGCTTGGCACAGCTTGCCACAGCTTGGCAGATTGATTGTCAAACGTGTGGCACGAGTGGCATTGATCTCCCCACCCGTGGCCCAGCCATGGCTGCTTGAAATCATCCGCCTGGCCGGACTCCGCAGGCACCGCTTGAAGAAGTCTTTGAATGGATCCCTTTCGGAGATGTTTCACGGGCTGAGCTTGTCCACGTTGTCAAAGGAGATCCTGGGAAAGCCTTTAAACAAGGACCCTTTGGCAGGATGGGCGGAACACGTCGTTGAGCTGACACCCCCGGACTCGGACCAGCTAACAATTTTGTGTGGAGTTAGGCCTCCCAAGTCGATGGTCTCACCTGTCCATTAAGGCCTTACTGTATATATTTCATAGCTTTTCTCTACCATGCGTTTTCGCGGAGGAGATGCGGGCGAGCAATTTTGCACGGCGGCCACTGCAGCAGTGGCAAAGATGCTATGCAGCATTGGATGCCTGGATTTTGGTGAAGTGGCCCAGCCGCAAGGAGTGAAGATGGTTGTCACTCAAACGGATGGACCCATGTGGCACAGGAGTCTTTTTGTGGGTGATGTTTTCCAAAGTTGGTTCGGGGGCATTGGAGCCACGGTCATACAGGTTGTCGCTACGTGAGTAACAGCTTGGCTTAGTTGGGTGATTGGAGTCCTGTGGCCAGGATTTGGGATCGATTGAAGTCCGAGCCTGGCAAGAAAAAAAGAGATTGAGCTTCGCTGAGCCGCTGTGCATGTGCAGAACTTGAATCTTGCTTCGGCTGCTTGTGTGGCTGCCTTGCCCAGCTCAAGGGGTTCCAGCGTCGGCGGTGTGCGTGCGTCAGAAAGAAACGGATGATTTGGACAACATGAAAGCGAGCATAGTGCTTGCGCTGGCTGTTGCACAGGACTGCGGTCTAGAACAATGCCCCTCAGGTGCGATTCTGACATGTGGCATTTGGTGCCAGCAGGCCTTGAGTGAAGACTGCCTAATGAACGCCACGTTGATGCCATGTCAGGGAAGCTATTGCAAGACAACCTGCCAACGGTGGTACCGCTCAATGACTGCAGACCTGCGCACGATCCGAGTCACCTGCCAGGAATTTGCGGACTTCGCCTTCTTTTCCAAGGGCGCGGCTGTGTGTGCGGAGGAGTGTTTGCTGCCGGAGATCCGGGCTGAACGCTATCCTTCGCCCACGGGCTACGGCCTGCTGTGTCGTCCAGGGTCTTGTGATGCATCCTCGCAGGCCAGGTATGCCCAGGACCCAGTGGCCATAGAAAAAGGCCTCGCGGCCTTGGAGTGTCCATGCAACTGGTTTGGGTCTGATTGCAAAGATGACTGGGTGCAAGTTCGTCATGTGAGGAAGCAGTGGTTGGGTGATTTTCAGCTCACATTCTTCAGTGTGGACAAGGGTGACTGGAAGAAGATCATGAAAGACTACCGCCCAGGCAGCATATTACGTGTTCAGCACTTGGACCAGAATGGTATCCCACGTGAGCAGCCGTATGCCTTAGCTGGAAAGGATGAAGAGGGCATTTTGAAGGTTTTGACCGGGCCACCACCAGAAGGACTTCATGAGGTTGTAGTGGAGGTTGCCCACGCGGTCAGGCAGCACACACCAGGACCTTGCACGACTCTTTTTGTGAATCCTGCAATCGCGGGCTTTTTCAACGGGCGCTATGAATACCTGTTGGATGCCTTAGGTTCGGTGAAGCAGGTAGCGATCGTTTCTTCAGGTGTTGGATTTTCTGGCGTGAAGGCTGCCATATCTGGACTGCTGCCGACGGGTCTTCAGATGCACATTTTCTACGGCGTTCGAAATGCGAAGGACGTACCGTACCAGGATTTCCTGACCTCACCGCTGGTGGAAGAAAAGGTGAAGCTTACCTTGCTGGTTTCTGGCACCTTGGCGGGAAATGAAAAAACAACAGAAAAACACAAGACTTAGTGTGAAGGCCTCCAACCTAGTAGCGATGGCCTCCTCCCACCTAATGCTACCTTTATACTAACGGTTGGATTCTCCCCTGCATTAGACCTACCACCCACTTGAGATGGTGCTGCATGATACAGGTCAAGGTCCAACATCAGCAGCTGGAAATCTTCAGAATGCCGTGCCGTGACAGAAAGTCCAATTCCGCTCAACACTTCAATAAGGATAGGTTTGTGCAGGGGGCTATACCATTCATCTTAGTCTGCAGAATCATTCAACTATGTAATGTTTTGAGTTTGAGCTGATTGGTTTTGCTGTGCTGATTTGTAACTAGCAGTTTGTTTCTACTTGAGGTTGACAGAGGCCAAATGTTGCTTGCAGCGTCCTGACTGCATGCAGAGGTTGTGAGTGGGTTGTACTTTGTGGGTGGCACACCTCGTCGTTTCAAAGGCCAAAGCCTCTTCAGCGGTGCCCATAGCGCTGCAGCCCCATGTGCCGACCTCCCAGCAAAAAAACCAGACGAAGACATTGGGCAGTGTCCCCAGACGAAGACATCGGGCAGTGTCCAAGTGATGTGTCAGAAAGGTCTGGAAAGATCTATGCGCAGCAAGCGGTGGCGTTGGACTTCCTGGCAGGTGCTGCGAAAAGCCTCGTGAGACAGACATGCTCAGTGAATTAGACAGACAGATCTGTGACATGCTGGCTTGCTTACAGGTGGGTTGGCACGGATCGGAGCCTCGTGCCGCAGCTGTGAATTCTGCTCGCAGATTCGGGGGGAAATTTGTGCCGATGCTACGATTGACCCGCTGTAGAACTCTAAAAACGACACATGCGCCGGTTCATCACTGTGAAGTGAACATCAGTCCACTTGATGCCACCTGTTTTGTGAACGCTGAGGCTTTCGGACACTGCTGTGATCATTTGTGGTCGGTATGAGCTCCTGAGAGACACCCCCACACTGTTGGAGGTGGGGACCTGCGATTCGGCGGGCTGCTGTGGTGAATGCTCCGAAGCGCCACTTGAAATGTGAGCACATCCAGTTCCTTTTTTTGTGGTAATCAGTGGTGAGCCGCTAGTGGCCACTAGTGAAGTGCCGATTTCAATCCCTAGGGGCCTAATGAGCTTGGGCGTGCAGGGAGCAGTGATTTGGGACGAGAAGTTAATAGTGCGCTTGAATCTTGGTGAGGCAGCATGCAAGCTGAGAAGCGACCCTTGGAAGTCAAAGCTGGACACGAAAGCAAGGACACGGGAAGGAGTAGAAGAGCACACACACAGAAATCTCTGACGGTCTGACACACATTGCTTCAGCCCATTTCCTTTTTCTGGTTAGTGGTGGCCAAGGCATCTTGCAAAGCTTTGATCCAGGCATGTCTTTCACTGCACGACATGCAGGGCCTATGTTTGGGTGATCGATGTTTGAGAAGTGATGACCAGTGATCAGTAGCAATTTGCTGACATTTCTTGAGGCCCACGTGTTCACCAACATCTGAGCACGGAGCCATATGGCCATTCCCGGCCTTTGGGCCGCCCATTCCCAGATTGACCTGAGATGCACTGACGACCGTCCTCGAGCCTCCGAGCAGCCGGGCCGAGCTCCGAAAATAGTGTGATCTCAGCGCTGGACGGGGTGGTCAAAGGAACAGTTCAGTTCTTGAAGTGCCAGCTGTGCTTGATCAAGGGCATCCCTTTTCTCCAAAGCGCCTGATCAAACCCGTTTGAGCAGTAGTAGAGGCAATGTTTGATGTGAATCAACCTGACGATTTACGTTTGCCCCACAAAGAACTGGCAGCATCTTGCAAACATGATGCCTCAAGATGGTTTCATTCAAGAAACAGGCCCCCGACCCACACAGCGTGCTTGCTGAACACCCCGAGCCCAATAAAAACCGGGTGCCTCTTGGAGCTGTTCCGGCTGGGGTTCGTCCCACCCATCTTCCGATGACCGGCCAGAACGCGCTCTTCTCGGGTTGCAAAGCCGAACGACGACGCGCCAAGGAGCCTGTTTCGGGGGGTCCTGAAATGCTGAGGGGCGAGGAGTTAGATGGCGAAGTCAGTCAGTCCAATTGTCATGTTTGATCATATGGTCCCTCTTGATGGACCAGTTGATAGGACCAGGACCTTGCCCGGCAAGTTGATGTAGCCAATACGTTACGTGGGCAAGGTGAAAGTGTGTTTGGCATAATGAAGGGTGTCTTTGAAGCGGATGTTTGCTTACTCGACTACCTTCTCAGCAGCGGTTCTACTGACTCAGTCCTCGTTCTTTCCCATCCCATCTTGGCCAACGATGAATCCGTGTCGCAGCAGCCAGGAATACATGAAATGGCTCTTCGATCAGCTTGAGGGTCCTGTGTATGTGCTCTGGCAAAGAAAGAGCACCGAAGACTCGCAAAGACTGATCTGGCCAGTCTTCGGATTGCCCCCACTTGGGCAAATGAGGGGGCTTGGTGTGGAATCATACTCGTAGCACGTTGACTTTGTTGAACCATGCCTTTTTGATGTGGAAGTGCAGCTTTTGGAGTCTGCTGGCATATCGCCACTTTGCGAGACTGAGCAAAGGTCGATGGCTGGGAAGACCGTGATGACATTACTGTCGTGGTGCGGGGCCAAGCGTACCTGTACAAGAGCCCAGCAGGATCCAGCAGGTCTAGCATGGGCTTAAAATCTTGCTTTGTTTGGTCAGGGTTAACATTCGACTTGTTTCGACTTTCTTTAACTGTACGAGGTTTCTATGGGTTTCACTTGTAGGACTGGCATTAGCATCATTGGCGTTAGAGAATATGCAGTCAGCCTGTCAGCCACCTTGAAAGAATTAGGAAACACATGTCTTACTTGCCGATCGGTTGGTCACATGTGAAGGTTGCCCATCATCCGTCAATCAGTTCCCGGCGTTACACTCATGGGGTTCCTCCATTCCGCCAGGGTTCCCACCCAAAAAGACCCAATGCTGAGCTTCTGGGAAGATACCCTTGGGACCTCGTGCTGCGGCTCTTGTGGCTTTGGAAGCAGGCTGTGGCACAAGCAGTTTGCACTTGACGTGTTTTCAGTGTCCTCGCATCATGATGCCGTTCGCCTTCTTCCCCCTGTGCTGGGGGAAGCTAGAGGATCCCCTTGTCCAGCGCGTCACGTGTCTAGCCAGAACTGCGATCATCATCGCCTCCATCAGATTGGTGGCGGGGATGTGTATAAGTCCGGGCAGGCTGAGCCCAGACAATCAGGAGCCCATGGCTGTACTAGAGATGTTAGGCAATCCGATGCTCCGATTGGGGGTGTCATTTCCAGTCTTCCTGCTTGCGCTGATCGTACCGTGTTGTGGCTACCTGGGAGCACACAGAAAGCAAAGAACTTGCTGCACATGCTGCTTTGCCTGGTGTAACTGCTGCACTGGCTTCATACAGGTTTTGGTGGTACTCCTTTGCGGCCTCGGCATTGTTACAATGTCGATACTTACCGTGCACTGCAAACATGGGTTGACCAAGGAAGCACCTGTCCAGGATGCATGCCTGAATGTAATGTACAGCTGCAAGTACAGGAAGAATCAGTTTGATCCCACAACATATGACAGATGCTACGAGCACATGTTTGGGCATCTCCCGCTTGCAATTGGTTTCTTCTCAGTGCTTCTGGCACTTCATAGCTTCATTGGCTGCATTGCATGTGCAAGTTTCTGGTGGGGCCGCAAGCTATACAGCTCCAGCACGGAGAAGGAGATGGGATCTGTTGTGGTTTGAATCTCCTTGAAGGGCTCATGTTCAGGGTCCAACTGTCACAACTTGAAGGGCCAATGTGTCCCTTGTGTCCCCACTTTGACCCACGTTCCTTGTAAAGAAGGCCACTTGCCGGCCTTGTCATGTGGGTTGGGGAGTTCCAGCGGCGATGATGGCTGCACAGTTTGAAAAGATCGCGCGTGCGGCAGGCGAGGAGAGGTCATGGTAGGTCTACAGATGTGAAGTGTCTCCGCATTGACCGAAGGGAAACGCGGGCCGTCGGGGGGAACATTCCCTACTCTTTCGCCAGGAAGACATGTCCCTTGTGGGACGGGGGAGTCCGAATTTTTGCCGTGGGCACCGGTTGTGGCGAGGATGTGCCGCAAGACTGCATTGGCTATGTGACCGGGAACCGGAGAGCAGCTCTCGGTGGAATTGAGGAGGTGCGAGAGATCTCTCAGCGGGTAGGACAGAGGTGACATGGGGTGGGCTGGACACCACCACTCAGAAGCATCAAAAAGGATAAAACCTGGCTGACACGTGTGCAAAACCTACCTGGCTGGTACCATTTGGGGTTTTAGTTTTACTCCTCACTTTTTGGCGTGGAGATGGCTGAGATGTACTGAGCTTTTTGGGTGGGGGTGTTGGGTGGCAAGGCTTGGGGCCACGCCCAACTGATTGGCACGGATTTGCCCAGAGTTGCGGGGTCATGCGGGGTCTGGTGTTTCTACCTTCAGAGGCCTATCTATGGTCTATACAGTATGTGAGGCTGAAACTGTACCCGCATTGCTTTTGGATGGCAGGAATGGGGAACGCTGATGTTCTTCATGAACAAGGACCTGTGTCCCATTTTGGTCGGCCAACTGCGTGCATGCCAGTTGCAACTGCTCCTAGGATGGCCAAAGCAAAGGGACTTCCAGAGGCTTGGGATGTGTCAATGATGCCCATAGGTCGGAAAAGGGTGATCGATGCTAACATCTCCAATCTTCCTGGTCAATTGTCCACATAGTCTAGATCCTCTGTGGCAAACAGTCCTTCTGGTTTGTTTTGGCTTCTCGTGGTTTGACCGAACTTTTTCTGCAGAAACCCATCCATGAGCCGTTGCTGCGACAAGCTGGAGGTCGCGGGGGCTCCGAGCAGCTGGCGATTTTCGGGAATCAACGCGCCCGACGAGGAGCTGAACTCAAGGCGCAGCGTTGTTGGGACCATGGGACATGGGGTACAGCATGGTACAGCTTGCAGATCTTGTGGGGTCAGGATGGGTCAGGTCTCCAAGCTCACCTGATAAATCACTAGGAGACTGGATCGAGAGATTCTGTGTCTAAGGTCGGGTTCTGTCACCTGACCAGGTGACACTTGTGAACAAGGAGCGCAATACAGCGACAAGCCATGACAAACCTAATATATATATATATATATTCACATTTATACAACAGTCTATAAATACACGGTATCTATGAGATGTTTGTGTAAATCTGCGAGGATCTTATTCGGCCGGCCGATGTTTTTGCCCACGCGGGCACGCTTCTTGACTTCCAGGTCATGAGCGCCGTGGAGACGAAAGCGCCGGGCACCTTCACCCGGGGCGTCCGCGAGAAGTTCAGCGATGAGAAGGCCGAAAAGCGGCGGAAACAGCGAAACGCCAAGAGGTTTTGGAAGCACCGGGGAATCTGTTTGCTGCGCCCCGGGTTGATTGGGGTGAGATAGAGATTGGATTCTATTCGGTTCTCTCTACTTAGTAGCAGTTTGACAACTGCTAGCCCATTCAAGCTGGAGATGTTGAATCATTGAACCTCTTTCGCTGGGCGCTCACTGCTTGCAACTCTATCGCTGCCCCCTGCGAGAGAACGTCAAAGACCCGGGATCATGGAATATAGGCGTGAAGTCACTGTATAGCAGTATCTCTGATCTTGGCCACATGCCGCCCGCCACTACTAGCACATGTTGACCAATGCATGCTTGTGAAAAGAACGGAAGGTGTGTGGCTTCGGTTCAGATGCCTTTCTCCAAAAAAACACTCAGGCTCAAGTTCAATCATTCAGGACCTGCCTTGGGTTACCTTGAGTGTACCTTGGGTTCTCCACGTGCCCAGGAACAGTCCAGAAACCATCACAAGCATGTAACACCTGTGGAGTTTTGGGTTTGGTTCCTCTCTGCTTTCCACTTCTCCAAGGTGACGGGATCCCCCGTCCCGACTGTACCACACTGGCCTACCGCAGTGCACCAGCTTCCTTCGACCAAAAAACTCAGGGCTTCGCCACGGACCGGATGATCTTCCGCGACGACGAGCTGAGCTATGCCCTAGGCCGTGAGAGACGACGTCGTCTAAGACTAAGACGTGCGATCTCTGGTCGCCCTGGCACGATGGGGCTGGGACGGCTGGGATTTGTTACCTTTTTTTTGGGTTGCAGGAAAAGAAGGCCCTCAGCTCAGTTGGCTATCCTTACCGGGTAGCCTGGAACATGGCATTTTCTACTCTTTTCTAAATTATGCACCTCTTCCCAGATTTGGAGATCGGCCACTCAGGATCTACCAGAAAGAAGCTGGCCTTAGCGGGACACGTGCCTTAGAAGCGCTTGTGGGCTCGTGATTCGAATTCTCTCTCTCTCTATAACTTAACTAAATTTAGATCAATTCTAATTCTAATTCTATTGCATTATTATTTCTAACAGCTTCTTGTTCCAAGTAGTAAGGCCAGGAGCCCCTAGTGGCGTCCTTGCTCAAAGCCACCGGGTGTCAGGTGATTCTGGAGTACGTGGGTCATGTCTGTTTCATGGCCGGAACGCTGAAGGCAGGGGGATCAGGGAGGAAAAGACTGCTGCCACGATGCTGCGGGGTTTCAGATGCCGCTTGACAGTGGTGTCAAGGAACGAAAACGGGTGAAGCAGTTCATTGACTGGTTGCTGGCCCAGCGTGCGCACCTCACCTTTGTAGCAGTTTTCGGAGCATTGTTCAAGTAACTTTGCTTTCCTTGTTTTGTCCTGAGGACGTGGTAGTGTCACAGTGAAGGATGTAGCAGACCGCGATGCAGCAAGCTTAGAGAAGAAGAACCCGTTTTGTTGAACCTTGAAGAGTTCCGAAAGGAAGAGTGTGCAGTGAATGTGCCGTTTGGTTTTACCCTTGGTTGCTACAAACTTGTCAGGACTGTACGGAAATGCATATCCCAGACAACTGCAAAGGCTGGGTTACAGGGCCCCGACCTTAGCAAACATGACCGCGCTATGATGTCGGCATTCAGTGGGAATCTTCACTAAAAGCCCCAATAAGAGCCATTCTCCCACACTGGACAGTTGTCAATGGCTTGATATTTTGAAAGGATTTGGACAACGCCTGTTTTGGCACGTGCTCGATCATATTTCGTTTTAACGCACGGACTCCACCCAGATTTGACTTCCCTGTTGCCGCCTGTTGCCTTTGGCTTGTAGCCGCGGGCTGGGCAGTTGACTTGGCCAGCGACATGGGAGTGACTCGGCGGAGGTTGATTCAAACACATTGAGGTCATCCGGGGTTGCTCTTGAGACCCGATGAGTCGTGCCCAAAGCTAGGAGCGCCTAGTAGCATCCTTGCTCCTAGTAGTACAGCCAGGAGCCCCTAGTAGCGTTCTTGCTCCTAGTAGTAAGATGTAGCTGCATATCCACATCCACACCTCCACTTCTCCATACTACACCAGCTTTACTCAAATGCGTCGGAATGCGCTGAGGAAAACTATGAGGTGTGGGGCCAATTCAAATGGGGCCCAGGAGGCCAATGTCCTGAAGGTCTGGCCGGAAAAACAGCAACTTGGCGGCTTGCATGGTGCTAGCTTTGCATACGCATCGACAGCAGGATTCCCAATGGAACCATATTTTTGTGGATTCTTTGTGCAGCCATTTGTGGGATGTATTTTCCAGCAGTGTTTGCTTTTGCTCCTGCTTTTGCTTTTGATTCTGCTTTTCCTTTTTGCTTTTGCGCCTCGAACGCTACCTTGTCACACATCCTTTGACTCCTATCGTTGCAAACGATTGAGTGTGTATGGCTGCACCCGTGGGTAGTCTTTTGTTTCTATTTTTTTCAGGAGGAGGGGCCATTTCAATGCAGCAATGCAGCATATTTTGTTTAAGTCACCCAAGGGCATAATTTAGAGGAGTCAGGAGCTGTTCCAAGGCAGCATACCTTTTGTGAGCCGCCCGCAGTTTGTTAGAATTCCGGTGTAGCATACATTTTGTGAGCCACCCGAGATCGCCCGAGGGTTAAAATTTAGAGGAAGAAGGAACCATTCCAACTTAGCATAGCCGTGAGCCACCTGACCATAAATTGTGAGGAAGGGCACACTCCAGTGTAGCAGCATGCCTTCTGTGAGTCAGCCGAGGGCACATGCCCGAAAAAAGAAGTAAAAACAGATCTCAAATCAAACCAAAAGAAACCCTAAGTTCCTCTCTCCTTACCTTCTCCTTTGGCTTGTCGTCCTCTCTCTCTCTCTCCGCTCTTCCCCTCTCCCCTTGTCCCTCTCTCTCTCTCTTGCTCCCATTCCCTCTCCCCTTCTCTTTGCTCCTCCTCCCTCCCTCGCTCCCTCCCTTCCTTTCCATATCTTTCTGCTGCCCCTTCTGCTTCTATTTCACTTCCGAAAAAGGATCCCACAAATGACCGGAAAAAAAAACACGTCCACAAAATTGCTCGACCCATTCCCAATGTCCTAGGGTTCGTGCTAAGAGATGAGAGGCAAACCCAGAAGCACCAAGAATATCAATAGACCGAATAGACTACCTGATCTTCCAAGCAATTGCCGAGTTAGCGCTGGCCCAGGTTGCATTGAAATGTGAGGCACGGATGTTTGCACTTCCAGCCTTGCTTTGATATCAGCTAGGCATTGGGGAAACTCGGGGGAGTCAGACATGTTCTGTTGGACAGGCTCCTGAGCAGGGGGTGTAAATGGTGTAAAGCCAATCAACGAGACCACACCTTGCTCCACAGGGGGACGTCTTCAATATCTCCGGAGCTGGTGCTTGGCTCTCAAGCCGATTGCGCAGCCAGTTGCTGGAGAAGGGATGTGAGGAGGCGATTGAGATTCCGTGCCTCGGTGAGATTCCCGGAACGTCCAAAAACGCCGGGCCTGGATGCTTCGTATCTCGAGAAAGAAGATGATGGAGAATCACCAGAATCATCAGAATCCATATAGGCGAATGGAGCTTGGCCCCCAAAATTTTTGCAGCTCTGGGCCAGAACTAGTCTGCAGTTTTGGACGCCCGCGCTCAGGATGAAGAAGGCGACGGCTGCCAAGATTGTGGAATACTTGAAGCACCACGAAGAACATGAATGCAGCGAAATCCTCACGCCCCTTGCAGGTGACAACTTGCAGGAGCTGAATGATGTCTTGCCCACCTTTCAGGGTCCTTTCAGGGTCCCACATCCCACAGGCAGTTCCTTAATGGAAACCATGGGAAACCGACCATACATCGATGGAGAACATTTCGCATCACTTACAGAAGCACTTCTTCTATCCACCTGTGGGCCCTCCATCCACTCCTTTCTAAGCCCACGCAGCCGCATGTTCTTTTCCCGACTCTTGGGCATTCTCGGGCACTCGAATACCACAGGACTGCGGGGCTTCCCGCTGGGACTCCAGCTTTGTGAATGTGGACCGGGAGTTGTTGTTTGACCTCACCGTGGCTGCCAGCTATTTGGATATTGCCTCGACCTGAGAGGATGAAGCTTGGAGAACCCCAAATCTCTTGCCGTAGGTGGACAAAAAGAGCGCTGAATCGAACAGAAAGAAAGCGCCAACTGTTGCGCCCGCTCAGGCCAGCCTATGGCTCCTGCTGAGCGCCAAAGCGGCGCTGATGACCAACAACAAGAGCGCTGAGAAGCTGCGAAAGGAGTTCAGCATGCTCAGCGACTTTCCAGCTGGAGAGGAGGCCAAACTCAGACAGGCCCGCCTCTGAAAGAATTTCTTCTTTAACACATCTGTATTTTCTTGGGTGTGATGTGGCCCACAGGTGGACTTGGGTTGTCTTGTTGGGACTCTTTGGCGGTCTTGGGGTGGAAAAATGGCAGGACTATGCCGCATCTCGGAAGAACCACGGCCACGCGCCCGACCCAGACTTATCGCAGCTGGCGGCCACATCAGTGGTACGGAGCGGGGTGCGGGCCAGTGAATACAAGGTGGGCATCAAGCAGTGGCCTGGTCGAAGAAGGGGCGTGGAGGGTTGATCCCTGTGATGGCTGGGCGGGGGTTGTCAAGGTAGGTCTTGAGTAGATAAATGCATGTGTTAGCACATGCATTGTGATGACTTGAAGATACTTGAAGTGTTGCAGATTGAATCGACATCGACTTATGCGAGGCCTTCCGAGTAGACCCAAGGCCCCGACCTGTGGTCCTGTCGGGCCTTTGTATCCGAGGTTGACCGATGGATCTGAGGATGCCTCCGCCCACCTGAGGAGCTGGCGCCATGCCATGTGGAGGGCAGCTGTCTTGGATGATTGGAACCTCTTGGCCAATGCTCCGGAGCAGGTGAAGGGCGACCGTGACCTGGTAAAGAGTGCCATCCTGACAAGCCAAGGTGCTGCTTTGAAGTATATATCCTCCGATTTGAAGGCTGATCAGACCATCGTCTTAGATGCCATCAAGTATTCGGGCAAGGTTTTTGCAGATGCAGCCCCAGACCTGCGCAACGACAAAGACTTCCTGTTGAAGGCTCTGAGTGTCCATGGGGGTGCCATGTGCGGTGCTCCAGATTCGATGCGCAGTGACAAAGCATTCCTGCTTGAAGCCGCGAAGGCTGGCAAGGGCGCAGCCATGCAGGGAGCTAGCTTAGCTTTGCGTGAGGATCGCAACTTCGTCTTGGAGATGGCAGTGCATGATGCTGAGGCATACCGCTATGCATCAGAGGACCTCCTGAACGATAAGGACTTCGCAGTGGCTGTTGCCAAACGAAATGGAAAGGCCCTGAAGTTCATGCTGTCCATTTTCAAGGCCGACCCAGATGTTGTGCGGGCAGCCATTTCCAGAGATCCGCAGGCTGCTCAATTTGCCCACGCATCCAGGCGAGCAGAGCTGGGCATCATCCAAGAATCTATCCATGGAGAAGTGCAGCTGAAGGAAGAGCTGCAGAGTCAATTGAAGGCCGCACAGGACGAGGCGGCATCAGTCACAACTCTGGCCGTCGCAGGCCCACGGCAAATTCCGGTGCAAGCGCTGCCAAGCAGGCAGCAGTACACCTCTCTGCGGTTGCAAAAGTGTGTGTACTTCACGGCCGCTAGCACAATGACGGCCAACATCGGTCAAGCCAACTATGTGGCATCCAATGCCTACATGGATAGACTTCCTCAGTTTCAGAGACCAGAGGTGGATGCCGTTGGCTTGATGTGGGGCGCCGTGGGTGGAATTGGTATGCGTTGGAAAGCCTTCGCATCAGAAGACTTTCTGAATGATGTTCCGGATGCGCTGATGAACATCCAGGAGTGTGGGAAAGTGCTCTACTGCGCCTCTATCTTGCAGAATCCGCCGGAGTGGTTTTGTGCCCAGAAGTTTGCAGAAGATGTGCGGAAGGGTTACCTCACCCCCACCGCTGGCGTCATCAAGCTGGAGCAAGAAGTGGTCTCAGCCGCAGCTGAGCAGAAACTTCCAGATGAAATGGCCTTGCAGGGTTTGCCAGATGTTGACCGGCGGCCCATTCCAGGGAACTTTGCTGATGCTCCTTTAGGTGGTTGGCCCAGCTTGCTCTCAGAGGGAGCCAAGGTACGGCTTACAGGTACTCGTGCCAAGAATGGCATCACAGGAACCTTGCTGCACAGATTTGAGGATGGCAAGTGGAAGGTTCAGTTGGATGATGGCTCTGGAAGTGCGCTGCTGAGACCCAACCATTTCGAGATTCTTGAGCATCTTCAAGCCCCAGTGCATCCCAAGACTCATCGGCACAACACACCGGAATTGGAAGCCTTCAATACACAAGTGGCCGCTGAGCGGCAGTGGAAGATTGAAGAGAAGAGGGCCAAGCTGAAGGAGAAGATCGCCGCTAAGCGGCAGGCGATTCTTTCTGCCGCGGCGGCTTAGATGAAGTCTTCAGCGGAGTCGCCTCGAGTAGCCACAGGATATGAATTGATGCCGCCTGTTTCGGCAGGGTGGATTTCACAAAGTGGAACCAAAGGGTCTCTTCCAACGCTTCATGCAGTGATTGGACTGAAAAGCCTTTGCAGATGTTTGTGTTGTATTGAGATGCTTTAGGAGCTGCCGAACAATCCCAAAACAACTAGCAATTGAGTTGCTATCCAAACGTCAATTTAGGCCTGGCAAGTAAACATGACTCAATGACATCTGCATCCACCTCTCTCCTGTGCTTTCCATCTCTCTCTGACGTAGCCATCTCGGCTGGAACGACGTACGACTCTCGCGGCGCCCGGCCGGGTGAGTGAGGCCGATGGCCGTGGCAGCTCGATGGGGAAAATCACGGGAAAAGGTCATGTGACGTTTCAGACATGCATTGATCAAGAATCCAGTGAATCCAGTGGCTTTTTTTTTCCTGATCTTTCTTGATTCGTGGGACACGACGCTCAGGAAACCTATGAGGTCTTCGGGCAGATGAAAATGGGCCCTGCCGGGGGCTGCCCGGCAGAGCTCCACGGAAAGAAGGCGCGAATCAAGTGCTCCGAGGGCGACATCTTCGAGCTGCCCGCGGATGCGGTCGCCCTATCATTGCGAGCACGCAAGGATCTACTCGAGAAGGGCTGTGACCAAGAGCTGGACTACCCGCTCCTTGGTTTGTCCTTGAGTTATATATATATATATATGCCGCTTGTTGTTCTGTTCTTGTGCTTTTGGTTCTGTTCTTGTTGCGGATCTTCATGATCTGCAATCCAAGGATTAAGAAGTCAGTCATGGCCAAGTTGTCGGAGTACCTGAAACACCACAAAGAGCATGCCTGCAGTGAAATTCGAACGCCGCTTGTGAGTGACAACTTGGTGGACTGTGGTGCCAGCAGATGGGATGCTAGTTTCGTGAATGTTGACAAAGAGACGCTCTTTGATCTCACTGTGGCAGCTACATATCTTGACATCCCTGGCCTGTGGTTTCTCCTGAGTGCTAGGGCTGCGGTCATCACCAACAACAAGACAGCAGACAAGCTGCGCAAAGAGTTTAGCATGGCCAACGATTTCCCAGCAGCAGAGGAAGCAGAGCTTAGACGGGAGTATGCGGCAGCCTTCAAGTTACCAGATACTACGGATCTGTCGCAACTGGCTGCATCATCAGTGATTCGCAGCGGTGTCAAGGCTGCAGAGTACAAGTCAGGTCTTCAACCGCTGGCCGAACCCTCCAGTGAAACATCTTCTGAAATGACTTTGAAGAGCTGGCGCCATGCCATGTGGAGGGCAGCTGTCTTGGATGATTGGAAGCTCTTGGCCAATGCTCCGGAGCAGGTGAAGGGCGACCGTGACCTGGTAAAGAGTGCCATCCTGACAAGCCAGGGCGCTGCTTTGAAGTATGCCGCCTCTGAATTGAAGGCTGACCAGGCACTGGTCCTGGATGCCACCAAATACTCAGGCATGGCTTTTGCAGATGCAGCTCCAGAGCTGCGCAACGACAAAAGCTTCCTTTTGAAGGCTGTGGGCGCTCATGGTGGTGCTATGTCCGGTGCTCCAGATTCGATGCGCAGTGACAAAGCATTCCTGCTAGAAGCAGCAAAGGCTGGCAAGGGTGCAGCCATGCAGGGAGCTAGCTTAGCTTTGCGTGAGGATCGCAACTTCGTCTTGGAGATGGCAGTGCATGATGCTGAGGCATACCGCTATGCATCAGAGGACCTCCTGAACGATAAGGACTTCGCAGTGGCTGTTGCCAAACGAAATGGAAAGGCCCTGAAGTTCATGTTGCCCATTTTCAAGGCCGACCCAGATGTTGTGCGGGCAGCCATTTCCAGAGATCCGCAGGCTGCTCAATTTGCCCATGCAGCGAGACGAGCAGAGCTGGGCATGACCCAGGAGTCAATCATGGGAGAAGTGCAGCTGAAGGAAGAGTTGCAGAGTCAATTGAAGGCCGCACAGGACGAGGCTTCATCAACTACAGCTCTGGCAATCGCAGCTGGCCCAAGACAGGTACCAGTACAGGCAATCTCAGGTGGAATGCATGCAACCTGCATGAGGTTGCAGAAAACCGTTTACTTCACAGCTATGAGCACTATGACGGCCAACATGGGCCAGGCCAACTACATTGCCTCGAATGCCTACATGGACAAGATCCCTGCATATGAGCGGCCAGAGGTAGATGCAGTGGGTTTGATGTGGGGTGCTGTGGGCGGAATCGGCATGCGTTGGAAAGCCTTCGCCTCCGAAGATGTGCTCAACAAGACTCCCGAGGCTCTACTCACCATCCCCGACTCCAGCAAGGTCCTCCACGTGGCCTGCTGCACCATGTTTCCCCCTGAATGGTTCTCGGCCTCCCACTTCGATGAAATGACCCGCGGCTACTACCTCTCCCCCACCGCTGGGCAAATCAAGCTAGAGCTCAGTGAAGCGGCAGCCCAATCATGGGAGAAGCAAGTGAATCAAGGGGACATGGACAAGAAAGCGCTTGAGGACTTGCCGACCATTGACAGACGTCCAGTGCCCAACAACTTCGCCAATGCCCCGCTGGGCGGCTGGCCTAGCTTGGTCACCTCGAGCCCAGCGGTGACCATGTCCATGCCCTTGCAGAAGGGATCCAAAGTCCGTTTGACCGGACTCCGTGCCAAGAACGGTGTCACTGGCATCTTGATTCAGCAGTTTGGTGATGGGAAGTGGAAGGTGAAGCTGGACGACGGTTCAGGCGCGCTCATCAGCATTTCTTGAATGTGGGCCCGATTAGAAACAGGAAACAGTCCTGGGCTAGTTTGTAGAACCATATGGCCAGAGCGACACTCTGTGGACCCTAGTGACTCCAATGTAGACTCATGATTCCTCTTCAGCTCATGATTTGTTGAGCGTCCGAGTTGCCCATCATGGCTGTGTGCCCTGCTTCAGGCAATGCCTTGCTGCGCCCAGGCTTCTTTGAGGCCATTTAAGTGAGGTGAATAGGATCTTCCGAAACAGATCGTAGTGACAGGCAGCTATCATCCGCCGTGAAAAAGTAAAAGATGGACTTGGCCAACTTGACCATTGCTGAGGGACGCAATTGTGGAACATATGGCTGTTGGTGGTTCTTTCCAAGATCCCTCTGCCGAGGAACCGCGGCAGCGAGCTCCGCCGTGTCGAGCAAGAGACCGGGACGTGCGCATCTGTGTACTTTGAGGGGGAAGACGGGGACAGAGAAAGCGACTGCAAGTCTCCATGTGTATACAGTCCTGCTTCAACCATTTGAGGGGGCGTTTCCTTGAACGACTGGGGGTTTGTCGGCGTGAGTTGTTTCCTGCTGCAGTACTCAGTCCAAGAATCTTAGGTAGAACTCAACAACAGCTCACTTTCACACGACCTGCTAATCTTCGAGGGACTTCTCAGCAACGCTGAGCCCCTCCGTCTTGCCCAACAGCGCAAGTCCACTGCTGCCGCCCGATCGATGCACCCGACCCGTCGGGCCGTCGGGCCCGATGCGCCAGGTTCATGTTCATGGCGCTCGATTCGCGCGGAGAGGAGACTCATGGAGACTCCTTGCGCCATGTGGAGCAAGAAGTGCTCCGTTCGTAGCGTCCTTGTTCCTAGTAGTAAGGCCAGGAGCCCCTAGTAGCGTTCTTGTTACTACTAGTAAAGCACTTGTTACTAGAAGCGATGCACTTGTTACTAGTAGCGTCCTTGTTCCTAGTAGTAAGGCCAGGAGTGGGAGAAGAAGCATCCTTCTCCGGTGAACACGTTGCAATCGGGTCATCCACTCGACACTCCTACACGACCTGAGGGATCGGGATTTGGGCAATCTTGGTGCATTGGCATTCTTCTTGTTGCATTTGGCCCATGTTTGTCTACCTGTCTACCAAATTTTGGACGGCAAGGCTCATGGCAGTTTGTGCTGTGTGCCAGCTGTAGTTTAGAGGGGGAGGTTTCTCCGCACCACTCCTTTGACTCAATCGGCAGGAGCGTCTTCTAATCTTTGGGGCCAATGCAGGCGCAGTGTCATTTCCACTTGTGCAAATCGGGTCTTCCTTGCCCTCAGACATGCTGCTTTGGCAACTAAGGCGGCAAGACAGAGAATGGTGGTCGCATGCATGCCGAACGCCTTGTCAATGATATGGTCCAGGACTGCCCAATAGGGGATCAAGGTGACAATACCAAGAACTTTAGTTGGTCTTTCAAATCTTTCCATGTCTTTGCCTTCGTGCAATTTGTTGTTCACCTCGTGCTTCGAGTGATCCAAATCCCAGGGGTGCCGCGAGAGCAACTCTTTCTGATTGGCGGTTCGTGGGATTTGGGGCTAGGAGAAGCTTCGGAATGATGACCGTCACTTGGCATCGAGCTGCACTGGGTGGGCCGAGAAATGCTTCTGGCAGCCCCTTGACGCGCGGAATCTTTTGCTGTGGGGTATCCGAGATCCAATTTTCCAAGGGGCATCGTGCGTGCTAGAAATCGCAACCGGAAGTCTCGCCCCCAAATGCACTTGTTTCTAATGGCTTCTTGTTACTACTAGTAAGGCACTTGTTACTAGAAGCGATGCACTTGTTCCTAATAGCTTCTTGTTACTACTAGTAAGGCACCTGTTACTACTAGCGTGGGAAATCGCAACCGGAAGTCTCGCCCCCAAATGCACTTACTGTGGTCCAACTTTTGATTGACATCGACTTTTTACTGACACATTGCTCCTCAACGAACATGACTAGTGACGAGTTCATATGATTGTGGGGTCCACACAACACATTTAGAATGTAGTGATCGGCAACAATCTCTCAGTAATTCTCAGTATATTGATCCGCATCCAACATGTTTTGTTTAAACATTTTGTGGGATCCTCCCAATGAAGGGGGCCTTAAGCCCCCAAGAGAGGCTTGTCACTTGGGTGCCTTCCTTTGCAGACACTGCCCAGGCCGTGGTGGCGGTGGCCGAGACAGCCGCAGTCGAAGCCGATCTCGCCGGTCCTCACGTCGCAGGCGGAGCACCGCCCAGATCCTGTTTGGTATAAGGAGGAAACGATGTTTGAAGAAATCGGAGCCCAATCAACTTAAAGAGCCTGATTCACCTGATCTCATCTTTTGAGGCGAAATCGCCATCACGATGCTTTGTGGAGTGTGGGTATCCTGACCAGGTCAAGATCTCGAGGTAGAGATAGCCGAAGCAGGCCGCCCAACAGTCAGTCGGGTGGGGGCCAGGCTGGCCAGAGGCATTGCAGGGCTGCAGCATCTCGCGGGGCTGTGAGTGACCTTAAAAGCACCACGACTCACGACCTTAGGTTTTTGTGCAGCATATTGCAGCATTCTAGGGTTTGGTCTTAGCCTTGTAGTATGTTTTCATTCATGCTAGCCAGAGATGCCATTGACAAGTCAGGAGCCGCCGTCGGTGACGCCAGCATCCCAGATGCCGGACGATGATGGTGTTCTGAGAACCCAGGTCATGACACTCGCAGAGCGGCTCCCACCCCACCAGGGTCATTTGGTTCAATTCGGACTTTCATTGAAGCCAATTTTCTCTTGAATGGATCGTTTGACATCCTCCATTCTCAGCATGTGGCGGTGATGTTGCTTACTTCGGTGTCGCAGTCTCTGGCTCTGGACGATCCCGTCCAACCGTGCCAGCTAACCATGCCACTCGGAAGCATGGGATGGAAGTTGCGAGGCTACCCATCTGCACACCTTGAGCCTTCTTTTTTGGAAGCCCTTCTGTGTGCATCAACGGGTTTACATGCTGCCGTCGAGGTCTGGCTTTGATTATTCCAAATGGGACCGACTGGAAATCAGCGATGACGAGGAGATAAGATAGTACTCAGCTGCAGCATTTGGGGACTTGAATTGCCTACGCCCGGGGTTGAACATTTGCGGAAGTAGTATATAAATCGAGTAGAGCAAGGTTTAGATGGACGGTGACACATCCAATACCACTCGCAAAGCCAGCATCTCGCTCCAATCCTTTTTCACACCTTCAGGACACGTTCCATCCCAACCTTGACAAGGGCCTCAACATCCGAGTGAATCGCATCACTCGCGAACGGAAAGAGGATGAGATCGATGACGAAGCCGGGCTGAATCGTTCTACCGTCAGAATGATCCCATGGCCACCTGTTCCGGCTCCCAGCTTGCAGCTGGAACAACGGAAGTCTTTTGCAGCCAATCGGAAGAAGAATAGGGGGGATACGTTTTCACAGGAAGTAGCATATCTTCACAGCATTTCCACGTGGCAAAAGACTTTGAGGAAGTGAAGAAGCTTACTGCGGAAGGTGAGCTGGAGATCCTTGGCCTAATCAAGCCACGATTTCTGGGTTCCCACAAGTGGTTTCTTTGAGGTTGGGGTTCACCTTGTTTCAATGGTGCATATGATGTCGTATGATATGTATGTGCAGTTGGTGGGACAGGGTCTTCTAGGGACAGTGGACTTTCAGTGCAGAGTTCAAAATGCCTGGTGTCTAATAGATACACACACCCAGGGACAGGGAGACTTCTTTCCTCTACCGTCGGCTCAATGATTCTTGACGTGCGTTCGAGAGCTTTTTTGAGTCTCACGAGGACGTTGCGGTTGACCCATGTTGTACGTGGGATTTGTTGGTATGGGTCTCTGATTAGGATTTGAGCCACTCCCAGCATCCAGCAGTTTTGCAGTTGCGGTGGAGAAATCAGAAGCATCCAGCTTCCCAAACCGGTTTTACAACTCCTTTTTTAATCTCCTTTTCCTTCCTTATATCATCCCGGTGTTTCTCACCTCTCAGGGGTGAGACTTGAGACCCTCTCCTCCCGGAGGAAGGCTGCAAAGCTGGAAGCCCGGAGGCCGCTCCATGTGGGCAATGTCTGCCATATCGCTGAGGAGTCGAGACAACATCGGCAGATTCGTTTTAGTGGATGCAACGGACTGATTCGTTTCATTTCTTCGATGATTCTTTCACATCCAAATTCTGTATGGGGGTGCAAGTCCAGGGTGGCTCCAAGGCGAATAAGAACCCCAATGTCGCAAGGTGTAGGTTTGCGTCATTCTCCATTTGGTGTTGTGCCTCTCGTCCTTACTCGACGAGTGATGACCAGTGGGAATAGCATAGACGTGCCCAGACCTTGAGAACCAATCATGAGAAGGCACAATAAAATAAACGATAATAAGAATGTCAATAATAATAAGAAGAAACAAAAAAGCACAGAGTTTCACCATTTTGTACCTTCTCCGCGCCCACCCCAAGACTCACCGGAGGAGCGCACCATCATCCAGTCCAGCGACGGGTCGAGAAAGGATCGCTTGAAGAAGGGTGAAGAGTTCAGCGCGGACGAGCAACAGGGCATTGCGAAGAGTTTTCGCTCGCGGACTGCACTGGCAGCACACATTCAAAGCATAGGGTGTGCCACAATGACAGGTAGAGGACCCCCAACAGGTCGTTGGCGTTGGCATCTTGCTTTGCGGTATTTTTTTGGCTTCTATATCTATATATCAAATTTCCCACACAAGTGGCAGGCCATTAGGAGGCTATCCTGAGTTTCTCAGCACCTTGTAAGGTGAGGTGCTAATGCTTCCACGCAAGGAGTGGCTTCTTTGTCTCCAGCCATGCCGCTGTGGGAGTCCTCCATGCCCTACATCCTCGTGCTTGTGCTCTTTTTTTGGGGGGAACGTCGTGAGATCCTAGGGGGTCGCCCAACTTGTTGGGAAACTCGTCCAGAGATTCTGGGCTTTTCCTGGCATGGCCGATTTCAGGTATACCATGTTCAAGGAGGACCACCAAGGCCAAGGGCAGATGTGTGTGGTTTCTTGACTGTTGCATCCATGGGACCTCCGCAGGGATCCTGGATCGCTTCACCCATGCGGATTGGTCCACTTCGGAGGTGCTTCCTACAGCTGGGCACATGTGGCAAGAAGAAAAGCAGCAGATTTGATGGATAGCTGTCAAACATGTATATGACCTCACCATGGAATCAAACATGTCCACACCCCACGAAGACAGAGCACTAGGCGCTTTTGAAAGAGTATGGCCAGATTCTGATGGATGACTATGACCCTTGGCTACGGTTCGACTGGGCCGGTCCTCAACTGGGCACCAACTTCATGGCATTTAAGGGTTAGGTGTAATATTAATCAGGTAGAAATAACATATGGAAAATGAAATCCCATCGCTTATTATTACTATATTATGACTCATGACTGAAATTATTATGAGATACATTTTACTAAAATATGAGGGGTTAGTTGATGTAGGTTATGAATGCAATTGAATGATAATGACCATGAATGCTATATTATATGAAAGAAAAGCTTTGAGCTGGCTGACACCAGATGGGCGGCCAAAGGAATGCTTCACTGAACAGCGGACTGTGACTAAGCATGATGAAGGATTCTTTTGGTCAAATCAACACGAGAGACTCATCCCTCGAAAGCACGAAACTGCTGCTTTCATCTACTTTTCCCCGTTGCAAGGCCCTTTGTCCTGATTTGAGGCACGCTTTTTCACCAAGGCCAACAGTTACTACATGCTCGAAGCGTTGAACGCAGAGATGAAAGGTGACAGGCCCATTGACGGGTCTTGTGCCTGTGGTGCTTGTAGGCTTAGAGCGAATTCCAAGCAAGTCTTGAAGACTTCAGCATTTGCAGCCCCAGGCCGCTGATGCAGAAGTTGGTGCGCCAGGGGCAGCATCTGGGGCCGAACTAGTGCAGGGATCGTTCTGAAGTAGAACTGCGAGAACTCTTTAGGTTTAGGACTTTCTCGTCGACCTCTAGCTTGTGATAGGGAGCAGGTGGGCGCGAACATGACATCCAAATCTTACCACCCAGCCTGGACCGCGACAGGGGTTTCCGAACTGAAGAATCCAATTGGACCAGTCATTAGGCCAAGAATGAGAAAACATCTTACATGCAAATCTGTACTTCCTTGCTGCTTCCTGCATTGGAAAGCCGCCAAGGATTCTCTCGCAGATCCATCAGCTGGCTGCGCCCATGAAGCGGCCGCCGCGGGACTTGGTGCCACGCTTCTTTGAGCGTTTTGAACCTTGGCGAAGCTCCTCGGGGTCTTTGGGCTTCACTGGGTGCAAGTAGCGGATGAGTCAGATAAAGTTGCCAGCTCGAAGCAACCACTGTCCTTTCATGATCTTTCATGTGTTTTTCTGACACCGGGGACCTGAAGCACTTATATTCCACTCGGTTCCGGGTGCCTTCTAAAATGACATGACTGTGTCAACTTGGTCTTGGAGTCTTGGAGTATTCTGTGCCTCGATGCGTTTGCACGCACCAGGACCACGAGGCCTCACGTGCCGCCTTCGAAGAAGGGGTAATGGGCTCAGTAGGCGTTGGCGACCCACAAGCTAGTATGTGAGATGCGGAGGTGTTTCAGATGTCGTTGAGGTCCGGCACTTCGAGAAGAACCTCGTGCAGCGAGCCGTGGACAAGAGAAACGAGGAGGCCCCAGAGAAACATGTGGTTTGAATTGGTATTTTTTTGTACAAGTGGCTGGTCATACGCCATGCGCTCATTTTTCCTTTAAACACCTTCAGACCTGCCCCCATGCCATCATCGCTTGGCGCTTCCAGGCCGCCAAGGAGAAGGAAGCGGCGGCGACGCAGGGGTACGAAGCGAAGCCGCTGGTCGAGGCCATGTACGACCTGAGCAAGGACAGCGATTCTCTATGCGATCTTTTCAGAAAGGATGGGTCTTCCGGATGCAGTTGGAAGGGGCAGTTCTGCAGTGGGAACAGATGTAGTTGAAACCATCCACCTGCTGAACTGCGTCATGCTAGGTTCTTGATGTTGGTGTGAAGAGGATGATGAATGACGAAGAAGGGCCCCAAAGGTGACAAGCCATTTCTTCAGCCAGGAGGAGCGGATCAAGATGTCTCCAGGGAACCTTGATCCGGTGGAAGTCTTTGAAAGTTTGCCCGAAAAGCTGCAGCAATGTTTCAAGACAGGTGCGGCTTCGGCACGATCGAAAGGCGAGTCGAGGAACTTCTGCGGGAACCTGCATGTTGAGGTTGCTTGCCCTTCTGTGACTGACCTCGCGTTGTGGGACAGCTTGGACCTGGAACACCGGCAGGGGGTGCGGAGACAAGTTCAACTGGACAATTATGTGATGGGCATGATTCATGGTATGTCGAACAGCTTGGCAGCCACGAATGTGGATTACTTCTCGCTCACTGCCAGACTTTCTATTGTATTATAGGCTACAGGGCATAGGGGTCCCGCTCACTGTGTGGGCAACCTCCCTGTGTGAAAGGGCAACATGGGTCACGCGATGCCTTGTGGGGCTCGAAGAGGGGGTCGTCATCTACCTTCAGCTGCACTCCTTAAATCCAAACCACTACCCCGCCGGCGTTCCTGGCGCCCTCACGAGAGCATCAAGTAAAACAACCTTCACATCTGCGTTCACAACCAGCAGCATCGTAAAGTTCCCGTGGTTGCAATACAATTTGACCCACTTAAAGGACCCGGCCTTAGCACAATCAAATGGCAGGTCCACTGAGGTTTGAGAGACACCCATAGGAAAACGCTTTGCTCATCTAACGAACGGGAGATCAATGAAGAAAGGGTCGACTGGTGGTGGGCCATCACTGTTCTTTCTTTCACTGGTGCGACACATGAGAAACACGGATGTGACAGATGCTACGACGAAGGCTGCTGCACATTGCATTCGTTCAAGAGAGGCCTTGCTCAACCATGTATTTCTCACTCGCCTTCTTGGAAGATCTTGGAAGGGTGGGGTATGCTTGAAGGGTGCAGGTCCAAGAGCTTGCGGTGGGCAGGTGACATTGAGCTCTTGAAACAGGTGGCGGAGGAGATGCCGGAGGAGGACGGGGTGCTTTTCCTTTTTTGGTAGTAGCCCAGCTTGACCTGCAAACCGGAGGTGTTATTGAAAAGAACGTGCTTGATCCCAAAGGAGGTTGATCTCTCTCTCTCTCTCTCTTTTTTCTCTCGGCTCGCCCGGAGTCTTATTCCGAGGGTTCCTTTCGAGTCTTTTGGAGGAGTTTGAGGAGCACTTTCAACGAACCATCGACTCCGGGCTGTGGCGTCCAGGGTGATGCCGACTTCCGCCTTGTCACGGCTGTCGCGGCCGCTGTGTGGCGGATGGGCGAAGTGGGTTTGGAGGTGGAACGGAGGTGGAACATGTGGAACCTTGTGGTGAAGCAGAGAAATCGTGACGGCTCAGGGCTTTGATGAAAATCCACCTCTTCCACTTCCATGTTTGATTTTGGGAGGCTAATGACTCCTGCTGAAGCAAGCAGCTTAGTAACCCTGCCAGGCTACTGCTAGGCAAGCTGGGCAGCATTGTCTTTCTGTCTTAGGGGAATCCTGGCGGTGCTGAAACGGGGCACGTGCCGGGCTTGTCCCACTCGGCGGCGCAAAAGAGCTCTGCATGCCGGGTGTGTAGGCCTGAAGCCTGGAGGGAAGCAACCCTCCATCGGTGAAAAAAAACACAAGGTCGCTTGGGCCAAGCACCATTGTGCTCCTTGTTTGAGAAGAAAGAAACTGCATGAAACTACGAAACGTGCGGGTGAACAGCCTGTGTTGACTTGGATCCTGCGGCTCCAGCGCCCAGCATGGCCGCTCCGCCACAGAAGAAGGCGAAGACGTCAGCTGACGCGCTCGGGCCCACGTTGAGAGGAACAGCCACTGGCGCAGTGCATGGTGATGCGCTCGCTCTGGATGAGGGGGACGTACCTGCGTGGGCCTTCTCCTCTCTACAGGAGCTGGTGAAAAAGTGCACATCCCTACTCTAGAGAACTCTACCAAAAGTACGCCCTTTGACCCTTTGGAACTCCTGACTTTGACAAGTTGTAACTTCATCGATGTTCCTCTTTGACATGTGGGGCGTGCAGGACGTGGCACCGCCGCTAAGTGTGAGCACGACTTTCACGAATCAAGAAAGTGGAGAGGGCCACGCCACTGGTAGCAGATGGGCGGGGTTCAAACTAAAAACATCGGGCGGTTGAAGAGATAATGCTTTTGCCCTTCACAGCTCTCAGAACTCATCTTGTCTCATCTCCACTTGTGTAGTGTAGTATGTGTAGTCTGACAGGTAAGAAGGGAGTGAAAGGAAGTCAAGTAAAGTTTGGTCGTCGACCTGGGCCCATTTCCGCCAAAAAGAGGAAGGTTTCGAGAGCCCCCCAGCCTGTGTCCCAGGTCTACAGTCGCATCACTTGCCCCACACGCAGCCGCTGCGAGCTTCTTCTGGGAACCTTGGAAGGGACGGAGGAGCAATTCCTGTTCGTTGAACCGTTTGAACCAATGCCTGAGGACAAACTAAAAAAGGTGGAGAGGCCTCTGGTCTGTTTGTGATTTGGGGGGGTGAGGACTTGAAGGTCCTGACGCACGTCCGACAAAGCAGTGTGGTGCTTGGGGAGACTTGTTCTTCCGTTTTGAAGACTTTGTGACCCAACCTGCTCGGGACCTTGAAGCGTTTCCTCGGCAGTGGAAGTAGAAGTGGTCACTTGGGTGGACCAACAACAGTCTGGTTGTTGTTTTTGTAAATGCATGTAAATGCTTTTATTTGTTGAATTGGAAGGCCAAACTGGTCAGGAGCAGCCTGCGCATTGCGTCCTTTACAGTTCTGGATTAGCGGCCGCCTTCGCTCTGTTCTCCCACTTTCTGCCGAAGCGTGTCTTTATTTCGGGTGAGCATGTCGAAAATGCTGCATGGCTTGCTCGATCGGGTGTTCGCCGCACAAATCACTTGTGTCATTTCTTGGCTTTGATCAAGGCAGTAGGGCGTCACCATTGGTAAATTGATCTTTGTTGAGCCGGTTTCCCCTACTTCCTTGGCCATGCCTACAGAAGTCTAGAGCACCAAGCCAGAGTCAGAGGGGCCATGGGTCCAGCTTCATCTAGAATCCAGCCCCTTCAGGTGGCTACCATGGAACACACCAAGTCCTCGCACAGCTTCAAAAGATCTCTGATGGAGCGCGCTTCAAGAAGGAGACCCTGCAGAGTGTAACAGAGCAGCTTGTTACAACTTTGGCGTCCGGATGTGATCACAGTACTTGGAATGTAATCGGCACACCTAATTTCCATGTCTTGAGCTCCTGCAGAGGAGTTGAAACAAGCTGGAATGCTGGAACAGGTGTCATGTCAGGCCATCTTCCCATCCCAGGTTACACAACGCAATCTAGTTGCCATGAGGATTGGTGGCAGTCTTCAATCTGGTGATTTGATTTGGTTGGAGACGCCGCTGAACCCAACTTGCCAAGTGGCAGACATCAAAGCCTATGTCGCCGTGGCAAAGACTGTGCCGGGTGTTCGTGTGGTGGTTGATGGCACGCTGCTCGCCGGAGCCGGGAACAGGGCCAGGGCCAGAGCTAGAGCACAGTACCTGACCAAGGTGGCACCTAACTAAAGTGGTGCAAACCAGCATCATCACACCCAACATCCACCGACCCCCCTCTGTTGCAGCTTCTCCCAGGTTTGCGCCTCCCCCCCCTTCAGCGACCACTGCTGCTGGGCGCTGATGCGGTGATGCACGCGACCACCAAGGCGCTGGCTGGGCACTCGGACGCCCTGGGCGGCGCCCTGTGCGTGCGCTGCGCTGCGGAGGCGCAGCAGCTGCGGCAGGATCGCATGGCCCTGGGCTCGACACCTGGGAGTTTGGAGGTGAGGGGGTTTGGAGACATCACGTGAGGATCGGATGAGTGGAGATGTTTTCTAGGGCCTTAGCCCATCTGTAATTAGGGCCATGCTTTTTGGAGGAATGATGCTTGTCGATCGGCCCAGGCTGGTCGAAGAAAACTTCCTGAAGGACATGCCAATTCCTGCAGCACCTAGATAAATCCCGTGTCCCAGGCCCATATCGTTCCTGCGGCAGAAGACCAAGCGGCCTCGAACAGTTTTGTGATGCTCTCGAGTAGCTCATTGGGGGGGGTCTCAAGCTACAGCCGCAGATCTCTTTGTGCCTTACTTTGCTATGGCACTGTCGGGGGGCAAGGCTCTTGAGTTCTTCTTTTCTTTGTTCTGACAGGTCTGGCTCTTGATGCGCTCCCTTCGGACGCTTCATCTCCGCGTGGAGCGGCAGTCCGAGACCGCTACACGACTGGCGCAGTGGTTGCAGCGCGCCACTGACGAAACTAGGCTGGGGAAGTGGGGAGGAAAACGGGGGAGGTGCGATATTTTTCGGGCACGCATGCCCAAAAGAAGTGCCTTTAATATGGGACCTTATGGGGTTCGGCTTTGTGCGTCAACTCTCAGAAAGGCTGATGTTGCTTCTTAATGCTTTCCTTACTGACATTGTGCTGTTGTAATTGTTGGACTGACATTATGTCGTCTTGTTGTCATTGTTGGCATCGTTTTCTTCGTTTTGGCAATGTCATTGTGAGGCTGTGTTATCAGGCCTCAACTCATAATGTTCAACTTGTGCTGGCTTCTGGAGTGCGAAGTGCCTAGCAAGTATATATGGAATTGCTCAAATGCAAAAGGCTTTGTTTGCCGAACCCTGTCAATCGTGTCACGATGTTGCTGCTTGCTGCAACCTAAGGATTCTTCGCATGCAGCTTGCATTGCAAATGAGCCTCTTCCGGAAGCTTCTGCCTCTCCAAATGCCACACATTCTTGTTTGGAAGCGGGAGTCCATGAACAATGGTTTTCGTGGTCCCGGTCCCACTCATCCAGGAATTGTATCCAAGAGGTTGGTTGCAAACCACGACCCCTAGGATTGTCAAGGCATGCTGACAGCTGAACAATGGTTTGGATATGTTTGGATGTTGTTCCTCACACCAGCCCCACAACGGTTAGCGCTCAACCCCTTCACATCTTCCAGTTCGGAGCTTTCACTAGTTCTCATTTATATATCCCTTCGAATCTCATATGGTCCTGGGCTATCTGAGCTTCTGAGATCCTTTCTTCTTTCCTCGCCCCTCCCAGGTCTTATCCGGCTGCATCCATGCCGTGCACCACCCGTCGCTGACGCTCGAACCGCTGGCGACGCAGATGCGCGGGGGTGGCGGGTGCCTGGCGCTGGAGCTCAGCAGCGAAGAAGCGGCCAAGGCGCTGCCGGAAGAGCTGCGGCTCTTCCGGGCTGCGACGTCCTTGGGAGGCGTGGAGGCTTGAAGGCGCTTCATCGCTAGAGCCGCTAGTAGGTTGGAGGCCATCGCTATTAGGGTGGAGGCCGTCGTGTTTAGGGTGGAGGCCATCGCTACTATTAGGGTGGAGGCCATCGCTACT